TAATAGTTATTTAAAATTATTTAAATAATTTTAAAATTCATATTTGATCATATAAAATCCAAAATTTATAATATATATATAGAGGTGAATTATTATGTAATCATTTACATTTGTACAATCAATATAACTCAATCTTAACCGTTCATTTAATTTGTTGAATATGTGATTTCATAAAAGTTTTGATTGTTTTATAATATAAATTATTGATCATAATTAATGAACCATATTCAGCTTCCATAAATATTCAAATCATAATAAATGAACTTTCATTATTTTTATAAATATCTCAATTGAATGAGTTGCATTGGTTGTACAAATATGATGAGTTGCATTTGAAACATACTCTCTCTCTATCTCTCTCTCTCTCTCTCTATATATATATATAGAAGAGAGAGAGAAAAAAAATATAGATAAAATTAAAATTCTATTAATTAACTTATTCTTTTATTTTAAAATTCGGTACCATTAATTAACATATTAGATTATTAATGCATTGTTTGAAATATATTACCATCCGGTATTCACATTTTTATTTGAATTCATTTTCAAAAGTAAATATTATTACTTTTTTACATTATATCCTTAATTATAAGATGATGAAATTTTCTATCACTGTTATTAAGAGTAAAATTATCATTTGTTTAATATAAAAGTGTAATAATTACACATTTCTAAAATATGTGTCATTTCCATTGTGAACATTTATTTTAGAACAAAAAGATATTAAAATTTACTAATTTTTCAACATGTTTTTTTTTTTTACTTTAGCAGTTTACAACTAACTTAGTAACTAGTTATTTCTCAAATATAATTAATTAATCAAGTAGTTTATATACTTATCAAAATTTTAAAAGTCAAAACACTAAAAATAATTACATTAAATTTAATAGCTTTTTTATTTTAATAATTACAATATCATTTTATTATTAAAATATTTTGTACATTTATTAAAGTATTATTTATTTTTAATAAATATTTAATTTTAAGAATTATTATTGATAAGAATAAGGAACTGTTTGGTAGTTGCTGAATGGTTTAGTGTAGAATAATTAAGTGGTCTGAATGATGAAGAGACTTTCATGATATAGTGCAAAATAAAATATAATTGTTTGATAATTGTTTACAATGAAATTAGGGCGCTGAATGGTTAAGGAAAAATCATTCAGACAATTTTAGATACATTAAGAGATAAACTTTTCTTTTGTCAAACAAGATTCACCTCTTAACGTTCAGATGTTACCTTTTAATGGAATTATTAAGAAGTAAACAAACAACCCCTAACAAAAAAATATTAATCTCTCGTAAACAATTAATTTTAGAGAGTTTTCAAATTTGTAGAATTCTTCAATTTGAAAGTTTTGAAATTTTTATTGAACAAGAAAATATTGACTAAAATACCTAAAATATATATTTAAAAAAAAACTAATCAACTTTCATATTTAAAACAATTATTTTCCTAATTTTTTTAAATAAGTAAATTATGAAACTTTTTGAAACTAAAAAAAAAATCCTTAAACTTATTGAAATGAAACAAATGAATATTTAAACTTATTAAAATAGAAAAAAAACCTTTTGTTAAATTATTGTATTTTGTTATTAATCTATTGATATATCAATAGAGAAAGAATATAATTCTTTCGTTTTATAAGTGTAAGAATTTTATTTATAAAATGTGTGTGGGATTAACAGTTCAATATATGTGTTTGTTTTGTAATTCTTCTTAGAGGTTATCGGTTTGATTTCTGCAACGCCATTAAGATTTTTTTGACCGTTCTCCGATTCCCTTAAGGATCAATCGAGCTACGCATAAGTGATAAGTTGTCATGATACACCCACTAGGGGTCGACTTACATCGATAAAAAGGTGGGGGAGAGTCCCCACTCAAATTTCGATATTTTAAAAGAATACAGCTAAAAAGTTCTTTTTTTTATTTTTTTTATATATTTAGTTTCACCTGGTCATTTTCGGCAGGTTTCCTTAGTGGTCTAGTTCGTTTTGACAAAATCGTCCACTTTCTTGCTTGACAGTCGTTCTACCTGTATATTGTTATAGCTAGTTCTTGCAATCAATGCTACAATAATAACGTTAGTTGATGATTTTGTTAAATATATCTCAATTTCTTGTACTTTTAGTTTTATATAAGTTCAAACCAATTCATCTAAAATAAAATTATGTAAATTAAATAATAATATATTTTGATATTCGTTAACTGGTTAATCAATATGGTAAAACAAATAATCGAAATCGAAATTTACCTTATTTGGTTAACCGAACTGCAACTAATCACAGTTAAAAAAAACCTACTACGTAGACTAGGAGTGCTCATGGGATGGGTTGATCGGGTTGAAGACATTTGAACAACCCAACCCAATGCCTGCGGTTTGAAAAAATCTTAACCCAACCCAACCCGTACGGGTTGGTCGGGTTAGTCGGGTTGATACTCTAGTACATTTAAATATTCTTCTAAACTTGAAATTCAAGGCTTGAATATGTTATTTCTCTATTCATAATTTCTTTTTCATCATCAACCATTTGATACAACTTATCTATATTTCTTATGTATATCACATTCAGTTAAATTTCTCAATTTATATATATATGTTCACAGTTACTGAACATATATATGAATGAGTTATATAGAGATGTGAATAGATTGAAAATATGTGTATATGAAAAACATACATGATAGTGTAATTGTCTAATTAATATATTAATAAAAATTCAACAATTATATTAAATTCAAGAAATAAAAGAATATCGGGTTCATCAGGTTGGGTTGAGTTCAAATAATAGTAACCTAATATCTACGATTTGACAATTTTACAACTCGATTTGACATCGGGTTGCTTCGGGTTGAGTTATTTCGCGTTGGGTTGGGTTGGATTCAAATAATAGTAACCCAATACTTACGATTTGACAATTTTACAACTCGATTTGACATCGGGTTGCTTCGGGTTGAGTTATTTCGCGTTGGGTTGGGTTGGATTCAAATAATAGTAACCCAATACTTACGATTTGACAATTTTACAACTCGATTAGACATCGAGTTGCTTCAGATTAAGTTATTTCGCGTTGGATTAATCGGGTTGGTCGGGTTTTTGAGCACCCCTAACGTAGACGACTAGATGGTATCGACATACTAAATCACGTCATTGTTGTTAAGGGTGTAAAGAGAACAACGGATTAATATGGACCGTGGTTTTCTGAAATTGACGTCACGTTTAATTATTACTTCATGTCACCAAGCAAACACCTTTTTTAAAGTTGTTTTTTTTAGTATTATACCAACGATGGAGATCTAATTTTCTTGAAAATTCATATTTAATTCGTCATAATTAAGGGTGAATATTAACCGTTAAAAATAAAAACAAAAAATCTACGGACCCAAACTATCTGCTTATATCTGGAGGGTGCACTAAGCCAAGGTCACTGAACCCACTTACCTCATTTCCATCAACCATGAGAACGACTGAACCCCAAACTGACCTTGAGCATGCACCCAACCACACTCCACTACTGGACCACCCCGAACCACCACCGGCCGCCGTGAGAAACCGGTTGTTGATTAGGGTTTCGTCCAGTATCACATTGGTCTCTCTGTTTTTTGTTTCAGCATTCCTACTCATTCTCCTGTACCAACACGATTCCACTTACACCGATGATAATTCAGCACCGTCGGAAAGTTCTTCCCAGCAGCCCTCCGCTGCCGATCGCCTGAGATGGGAGAGAACAGCTTTTCATTTCCAGCCCGCCAAAAATTTCATTTATGGTACGGTAGAATTCTAGAATCTTCCGATCAAACTCACGATTCATGGTCGATTTCAGTTGAATTTCGCATATTTAAGATCAAAGTTACTGTTTATGGAAAATTTTAGTCTCGATTTTGATTTTTTTTTCCTTGTATTGTTTCATGTTTCTCGATGATGTTGCTGTGTGGATTCTTGCTTCAGATCCCAACGGTATGTATTTTGCGTCATTTATTTGATTCATTCTTTTCTATATACTATATTATAATGCAGGGACGTTCCAATCTTTTTGGAGGCCCTCTTACATCCAAAACTTTTGATTACATTGCATAAATGAGATAACAAATAATATATGTTAAGAACAAAAAATAGGCTAAACCTAAAACGATTAACAATTTGAAACTAAACCTAAACCATTAATGATTTGAACCTAAAACCAAACAATTAATAGTTTGAACCTAAATAACTTCGGCTATAGTTTTACACAGGTCGATAAAAGACCCTAAACACATGTAAATTTAGGGCCCAAAATTTCGAGGGCCCTGTTCAAAATCTCACATTTAACATGCTAAGGGACGGCCCTGTTATAAAACATTTGACAAAAACTTTTAAAAATCATTTTTATGCATGAAGTACTCTTTATTGAGACACATTACTTAAAATTCAAGATTACAAGTAAATGTACATAATTACAACTTATTAAAACTTCATATTTGAATTTGTGTAACTAACTGCAAATAAATATAATCAAATAGAGGATAAACATCTCATTTTAAATCTAAAAAATCTAAAATATAATTAAGATAATAATTGAGTTATAACAAAATACTAAGTGTATCTTTATAAAAAAGTTATATTATTAAACTAAAAATAAAAAAATGAATTAAAGAAATGCACACACAATTTTTTTAAATAGTTAGTTTGGTACCAATATCAATATTTTCTTTCAATTTTTTATAGTATATTTTTATATTTATATTTTGTTAAAAAATAAAAACATTATTGTTTCTCAAAACCACATAAAATCGTATTATAATATCGACTGAGACAAAAAAATAAAACGAAATATTAAAATCGAGATGTATCTCGCCTCATTATACAAGTACATTTCTAGTTTGGAATATTTGTAGTTTTAAGAGTAGTAACATTACAATGGAAATGTAAAGTTCGAGTTTGTTATCAGCACGTATTTATTTTGTAGGGTTTTTATTTTTTTTTTGTTTTTATTGTTGGAAAATAAGAACTTAAAAAGACATTTAGGGGCCGTTTACCAAACGCTTACCTGGGTAAGCGCTTACCAAGTAACATTATCTCACCACATGAATATGGTAAAGACCAATAATTTTATCCGATAAGAGCGAGACAAAGACTAAGAGTTTTACCCGGTAAGTGAGGACGACAACACTTACCACGGTAAGTGCTTACCAGGTAAATTATTGCATACGATGTCGTTTTGGTGGACTAAAATCTTACATGATAAGTAAAAATAATAGTGTTAAATTTTACTGATAAACACTTACTGAGCAAATGTTTGGTAAACGGCCCCTTACATCATGTCCAATAAATTAAACGATATAATTTAATATATTTTGCGTTATTTAAATATCATAAATTTAGTCGACTTGACGAATTGGTGGTGGTTTGGGTGGTCCATTGTAGGTCCATTGTTCCATATGGGTTGGTACCATCTTTTCTACCAATACAACCCGTACGCACCGTTTTGGGGCAACATGACATGGGGTCACGCCGTGTCCAAAGACATGATCAACTGGTTCGAGCTTCCGATCGCCTTGGCCCCAACCGAATGGTACGATATCGAGGGTGTTTTATCAGGCTCAACCACGATCCTCCCTGATGGTCGAATCTTTGCTCTCTATACCGGAAACACAAACGATCTCGAGCAACTTCAATGCAAAGCCGTGCCAGTTAATGCATCCGACCCACTTCTTGTTGAATGGGTCAGGTACGATGCTAACCCGATCCTGTATGCTCCATCAGGGATCGGGTTAACAGATTACCGGGACCCGTCAACAGTTTGGACGGGTCCCGATGGAAAACATCGGATGATCATAGGGACTAAACGAAATACTACAGGACTCGTACTTGTATACCATACCACCGATTTCACAAACTACGTAATGTTGGACGAGCCGTTGCACTCGGTCCCCAACACTGATATGTGGGAATGTGTCGACCTTTACCCTGTGTCAACGACCAACGATAGTGCACTTGATGTTGCGGCCTATGGTCCGGGTATCAAGCATGTGCTTAAAGAAAGTTGGGAGGGACACGCGATGGACTTTTACTCGATCGGGACATACGATGCATTTAACGATAAGTGGACACCCGATAATCCCGAACTAGACGTCGGTATCGGGTTGCGGTGCGATTACGGAAGGTTCTTTGCGTCGAAGAGCCTCTACGACCCGTTGAAGAAACGAAGAGTCACTTGGGGTTATGTTGCGGAATCCGACAGTTACGACCAAGACGTCTCTAGAGGATGGGCTACTATTTATGTATGATATTTTATATACATTGTATTCGTTTGATTTGGTTTGGTTTGATTTATATCATGCCTTTTGACATTAATTTATATAAAAACAGAATGTTGCAAGGACCATTGTACTCGATCGGAAGACTGGAACCCATCTACTTCAATGGCCGGTGGAGGAAATCGAGAGCTTGAGATCCAACGGTCATGAATTCAAAAATATAACACTTGAGCCGGGCTCGATCATTCCCCTCGACGTAGGCTCAGCTACGCAGGTAGAAGTCACTTTACCCTTATTTTTCGTTTATATATAAAAGTTACTTTGAGATATTAAAATAGAAAAACTGTTAAAATTGAAAGTAACTTTTTTCCAGATAAACCGTCAAAAATGTCGAATGGGTAAGATTCTTTTAGCAATTATTTGTTTGAGCGATCGAAATGTAACTAACATATGACGACAATGGTAGTTGGACATCGTTGCAACATTTGAGGTGGATCAAGAGGCGTTAAAAGCAACAAGTGACACGAACGACGAATACGGTTGCACCACAAGTTCGGGTGCAGCCCAAAGGGGAAGTTTTGGACCATTCGGGATTGCAGTTCTTGCCCACGGAACCCTTTCGGAGTTAACTCCGGTGTATTTCTACATTGCTAAAAACACCAAGGGAGGTGTGGATACACATTTTTGTACGGATAAACTAAGGTAAAAAAAAACCTCCTTTATAATAATTCAGAACATTTAGGGACCGTTTACCAAATGTTTTTATGGGTAAACGCTTACCAAGTTACATTATCTTATCGGATGAACATGGAAAGGACCATGAATCTTACCCAGTAAGAGCGAAACAAGGACTTAGAATCTTACCCGGTAAGTGAGGGCAATGACTCTTATCACAGTCAGCTCTTACCGGGTAATTCGTTGCATAGAAAGCCGTTTTTTGTTGACTAAAATCTTACCCGATAAGTAAATGATAGTGTTGAATTTTAACGTTGGATGCTTATCGGGTAAGTGTTTAATAAACGGTCCCTAAATTTTTTTAAAAATAATAGAAAAATATTGATGTAATAAATCATGTGAAATTACAGGTCATCATATGATTATGATGGTGAGAAGGTGGTGTATGGCAGCACCGTCCCAGTGCTCGACGGCGAAGAATTCACAATGAGGATATTGGTAAGTATGTTTTACACTAGCAATATAACAAGATATATTTTGATTTTAATATTTTATTTTATTTTTTATCTCAATCAATGTTATAGTATGATCTTATATGATTTAAAAAAAACGATAATGTTTTTATTTTTAAATAAAATATAAATTTAAAAATGTCATAAAAATTTGATAAAAAATATATCCATATTAATATCAAATTAACTATTTAAAATTTCTAATTTTTGTGTGTTTTTTAATTCAATTTTTTTTATTTTATAATTTAATTTATGATCAATAACAAAATAATTTATATTTGGTTTAATAATATAATTTTATTATAAAGATAATAATTAATTATTTTGTTAGAACTCGATAATTATTCTAATTATATTTTAGATTTTTTATATATTAAAATGAGATGTTTATCCTTTATTTGATTATGTTTATCCACAGTTAGTTATACGAATTCAAATATGAAACTTTAATAAGTTGTACTTATGCATAATTTACTTGTAATCTTAAATTTTAAATAATATGCATTAATATACAGTACTTCATGCATAAAAAATGATTTTTAAAAGTTTTTGTCAAATGATTTATAATATAGTATAGATAAAAGAGTCAGGATGTTTACAAAACACTTATCTTGATAAACATTTATCAGTTCAATTACCATACCAGTGAACATAACAATTACCGAGTCTTACCGGTAAATGTTTATCATCATTCAATTTTGATGACAAGAAATGTTACAAAATAAGGTAAATGAGAATAATAACTCTTGCCAGTAAGTGTTTACCCAGTAAACGTTTCGTAAACGGTCCACAAATTAGAATTTATGTTCCCGTCATTTATTAAAGATTTCGATTTTCATCCTAAAGGTTTACACATTGCAATTTTTGTTCGTATATTTTCGTTCGTGGTTAATTTCCTGTCTTAAAGTATAATAGACCAAAACAGTAAATAATTTAAACTATAGGAAGCGAAACAACAATAAACTGTAAATAAGCCAATTGGATGTACAGGTGGATCATTCGGTGGTGGAGGGGTTTGCACAAGGGGGAAGGACAGTAATAACGTCAAGAGTGTATCCCACGAAAGCAATATACGAAGCAGCCAAGCTTTTCGTCTTCAACAATGCCACTACGACCAGTGTGAAGGCGACTCTCAAGGTCTGGCAAATGTCTCAAGCCTTTGTCAAGGCTTATCCGTTTTAGTTTTTTATGCATCTTTTTAAGACATTGTTGTTTCATATGATTCAAGTTTTATCTGTGTGTTATGTTAAGACACGCAGCTTAAAATAGCCACATGTGAGATCATTTGCGTATGGCCGTCAACTATTTTTTAATATGCAACTTCAGTAATGCTATTTACAGTATGTTTTAAGGATATTTCCTTTTTAAATAAATTGTTTCAAATTTAATCAGTAAATTGTAAAATAATAGGAGTTTATTTTATAAGCAAATCAATTTAATTTAGGCCATATTTCCTAACTAATTAATAGTAAGTTGTTATCCAAAATATTAATTGATATATTAGGTACTGTTTACCAAACGTTTGTCCGGGTAAGCGTTGACCAAGTCACTTTACTTTACTGAATAAATATGGCAAGGACTAAAAATTTTACCCGGTGAGAGCGAAGATAAGAATCGAGAGTCTTACCCGGTAAATGAGGACGAAGACTCTTACCATGGTTAGCGCTTACCGAGATAAATTGTTGTATACGATGCGTTTTGGTAAATAAAATCTTACCCGATAAGTAAGCGACAGTATTGAATTTTACTGATAAGTGCTTAATAGATAAGTGTTTAGGTGAACGTCCCCTTGGTCTTACTTGTTAAAAACTAATTGAAATTAAATAAAATAAAAATATAAATCATTCAATTAGAAAAAGTTAGGAAAAAGTGAAATATGAAACCATTTTTTAATAAAAATAGAAAAGAGTAAATTACAAATTTTGCCCCTGTGGTTATTGAAAATTATAGATCGGATCCTTAAATGAAATAATTATATATAAGGTTATTATTGTTTAATTTTTGTTAGGGATTGTGTCCCTCGTTCCAACTCCACTAACCGAGACTTCGTTAAGTCAAGGATGATATTGTCTTTTAACAATTTTCATTTTTAAATTATATTTATTATGTTCAATTATACATTTTTTTGTTAATAAAAATAAACGGAGAGATTAAATCGGGACGTTTTTACAAACGACGACGATTGATGTCTTGTAATTCAAAAAGTACTGGGACGAAGTATTTCCGGCAAACCACATGAACCATTAAAACAAATACCATATTAATGTATATATTAAACAATATATATTAGTAATATTTTAGTTTATATCTCATTCTTATGTTTCATCTAATTTAATAGAATTAAAAAAAGTATATTTTATCCCATCTTTTTTCAATTCTTGTCATTATCTGATTATTACATCAAACGTAAGACAGTGAGTTTTTAATTCTCGAGATTTTTAGGACCCATCAAACGTACAATAGTGATTTTTTTTTTTATTAACTGAATATCCAACCCGCTATGTGAGCCGACTAATCCCAAGACACGTAGCCCGGAGTCACCGCATTTGAATCTTCGTGGCCACAAGATGATTTTTGTTTCTCATTTGATTTGAACATGAGATCTCCTAACATTTTTGACATTTGAAGTCAAGCTTAAACCAATCATACACAACTCTTATAATTAGAATAGTGAATTTTCTGTTCATGTGCCGGCACACCATAAAGAAACGGAGCGGAATCCGGGTTATAATCATAAGAAAACCCCTGGGGATGACATAAACCCTTGTTTTCTTCCCGCCATGATATCCGTCTGTCCAACGACCCTATCCCCCTTCCATCTCACTTCACCACCGCAAAACCCTAGCCACAGACCATCCAATCTCCGCCCTCTCACCGCCCTTGTTTCCGATTCTCACTATGAAACCGAAAGAGGTTTTGAATTTGAAACCGGAGACACCTTCTTCCGCCACGAAAGCGCTACCGGCCGGGATCTCGGTGTTCTAGCTGCCGCTCTTTATAAGAGGTCCAACGATAAGCTACGAGTTCTTGATGCAATGTGCGGTTGTGGAATTCGATCTCTGCGTTACTTAGCTGAAGCCAGAGCTGATTTTGTGTTGGCTAACGATGCAAACGAGGATTGTAATGGTGTTATAGTGTCCAATTTATCGACGGTTTCGAGTGAGGACGAAGGGAGATGGAAGGTCAGTCATTCGGTTGCGAATCGTGTTTTGGCGGAGAGATATGTTGAGAGGGATTATTTCGATTTCATTGATGTTGATTCGTTTGGGAGTGATTCCAGTTTCTTTAGGTCTGCATTTGATACTGTCAAATTGGGTGGATTGCTTTACGTTACATCAACCGACGGATTTTCTTCCGGCGGCCATCGGCCTAACCAGTGAGTCTTACCTTTTAGTTTCTTTATATAATGATATCTGAGGATAATTCGCACATCAGCTTTATACCTGACACTTCAATCATTAGGGTTTTAGGAAACGAAAACACAATAATTTGTACTTAGGTTTCAGCTAATCGATCTTGAATTGCTAGCTCTGTGAACAAAACCACAAACTAAAAATCTAGTGTAATTGGGTACATTGAATGAAAAACTGAAAACCAAAAAACAAACATGAACAGTAAAATGGTCTTTCCTGTCATTCAACACCACAAATAAACAATCCATACAGACAACCTGCTATAAAGAACTACATGGCTTAATGGAAAAACAACCAAAACCAACTGTAGGTTTTTTTTGTACTCGTTTAGTCCTTTTCTGTGGGAATGCTTCCTAACAAATGTATGCCTTATGTTTTTTCTATGTTTAGTTCCTTAGCTGCATATGGAGCATACATTCGGCCGCATCCCTACTCGAACGAAATTGGTTTGCGGATGCTTATAGGTGGTGCTGTACGCGAGGCTTCTGTTTTGGGTTATCACGTTTCGCCACTCTTTTCATACTATTCATACCATGGACCTGTCTTCAGAGTCTTGCTACGCGTTAACCGCGGAAAGCTACCACATGGGCATGTACTATTGGTTACCGTCTGTTTGTTTGTTGTTTTTACGTTACTTTATGCAAAGTTTGTCCTAATTCAAGTAATTGTGTTTCTAAAACATGTTTTATGGTATCTTCTTTTAACAGGCATTATAGGTTTATCAGCTACTGTGATTCTTGTGGTAACTCTCAAGCTGTTTCATGGGATGAACTTGGTCAAATGAATTGTTCTTGTGGATCAGATGTATGATTTCTTCTTCTAATTTATCCTTCATAGGCATGAAATGAGGTTAGCATAATATAAAATAAAACAAAATTAATTATATAAAGTAAGGTCTTATGAAACAGCTTTAACCCCCAAAACTTTTTCCACTACGTTGGAAGTTGGAACAATAGAGCGGTAGCTCAGGACACCCTCCTCTCCCTCCCACCCTGGGGCGCCCCGCCCATCAGTGGGATATACGGGGTCGTTTGGTTTGGAAGACCTATCTTGACCGAAACACAGGTGATATTTGTCTTTTTCATATCTGCTATGACTGCAAAATGGTCTAAATCTACTTTATCTTACAGGTACCTGATTCACTTGTTGTTTCTGGGCCTCTTTGGACAGGGCCTCTTCACTGTGCAGCCTATCTTACAGAAATGCTTGGTTTGGCAGGAGAATGGGGATGGTTGGGCAGTGGGACAAAAAATGATCTCGATAAACTATTACAGCGGATGATTGATGAAAGTGATCCCAATTTATCATTTGGTTACATCAAACTTGATGAGGTTCATACTGTTATTTTTTGTCTTTCTATGTTCTATAACTTGGTGGGTGCATTTCACCATTTATTTAAACATGTTATTCTTTTATGCTGTTAGCGATGTCCTATGTTTTGTAATCTAGTGGTTAATATGCTTCTCATATATGTAACAGATAGCAAGCCGTGCGAAGGTCAATTCTCCTCCTCTAGTGACAATATTGAATGCAATCCACCAGGTAAGCCGTAGAGATTTAAATATATCCAATTTTATACCATCTAAAGAAAACCAGTTATGAACCTCACATTTGTTCCTACTGCCTTCCCCCGTCACTGTTAATTGTTCATGTTGCTTGTTGACACACTCACATTTGTCGCTTGCTCTCGTTTCTTTTACGTTTGCAAGTCGGTCTTCTTGGAAACAGCTAATTTCCCATTTTACCTTTAATCACGTTGGATAAAATCTCTCTCTTAATTAAGGATAAAACTGTCATTTTGTTAAAGTGTAATAATTACACATTCCTAAAACAGTGTGTATTTCTCATTGTGGACATTATTTTGGGACGGAGGTAGAAAACCATATAAAGCACTACATCAACATCACACTCGACCACAAATAGAATACCATGTATGCATGGTCAAGTAAAATTTGTCTTCCTTGATTTGGAAATATTGTGTTCATGGAAACAGCCTGCATCCTCTTATGTTTGCGTGCATCTTACCCTTCAAAGTCCAAACCCTGTTTCTCCGTGATATTTACTGGGTTTGGTAGGTTCTGATAATTTGTTATTGTAGGAGGGATACAGTGTTAGTAGATCTCACATTTCCTCCAATGCAATCAAGACAAATTGCCCCATGTCAGAGTGTATTAGGATCGCCAAGCAACTGCGCCAATGCTGAGTTATATAAAGACAGATGGCTGTTTTTGGCTTTTTGAGTATTGCACCACAAATTGAACTGCATAGTCCCAATGGAAGCTGATTGTTGGCACTTGGCAGGGGCCGAGTCTTCTACTACTGACCCTCCCACACACAAAAGACTATTCTACCCTTTATTTGCTTTCTTTCTAATACGGACTCTGTTCTCATCAAAGTGCCGTGGTGTTGATAGACCTTCTATTCTTAACAAGCATCAAGTTTCACACATCTCATGTTGGCTCCACTGATATAAACGGCTTAAGTGTAACGCTGTGGCACACCATAGGTCTAATGAACACCTTTTGTAACACAATATTTGATTTTTCTTGCCTTTTAATGTCTTCTTTGTTAGTTTTTAATATGTAATCTGATTTAAATTGTTTAACATGATTGACTCAATATATTGGAGACGTGGTATCATAAGTTACACCTTATAAAATGCCGTGACGTCCTAACAACGCTTGTGGCTTGGCCTTGCAGCCACACCATTTAAAATTTACATGGCCCAAACTCTTCTATAAAGGGATTCTCCTCAATTACTTGTTTGATCTAAATGAACAAGAGAGGTGTTGGTAAGAATACAAAACGCATAGCCTAATCATCACAGGTCTGGGTTCATAAGAGCAAGGCACATCTCATTATCCATCAAGCATGAAAAGTTGGGTACATAAAGAGGAAGTTACGATTACAAGCCAGCAAAAACCAGATGACAAGGGTTTATTTATGTTTTGCATACACAAAGGGCAAAATGGGGCTTCTTTATTACATCTTCAAGATTCTTACTTTAAGGGCATTCTTTCTTATACACTTCACTGGCATACTTCCAGTTGATCACTTTCCAAATATTCTTCAAATAATCTGGTCTAACATTTTTGTACTGCATCAAGAAAACATCCAAACATAAATACATGATCATTAAATTAGGTAGATATCTATGTATATGGATCATAACAAGCTAATGCAAAAAACTAACTTCCACTACTCAAACAATCACCTGTAAGTAGTATGCATGCTCCCAAACGTCTATGCCGATCAGGGGAACCAAGCTTGCACCTTTTGTAACCAGTGGGTCCTGCACCACAAGTATAATAACTTATTGTAAATGCAGAAAGATCTTGAGAATTTATTCAGAACAAGGCTCAAAAAGAGCACTTGTTAGTACAGAGAAAAAGGGTTGAGGAAAGAATAAGAACTGCAGAAAACAGATAAAAATCATTTGATTCAAAAGGGTAGGACACACAGCGACACAAATATTCAAAAAGAAAGTTAAAATAGCACCTCCGAGTAGTCTATGTTGATCTTTTTATATGCAGACCATATTTAAAACTTATCTTTTGTCTATTCAATATCTGAAGATGCAAAGCGGCACCAACAAACAAAACTAACTCCATATAATTTACACATTTCAATGTTGTACCATCCTAATATAATTTTATCAGCAAGGAACTGAAGAAGCCAGCCAATTCCAATTAATGTCACCTATTCTCTTACATGATTAGAAGACAGGCATAATGGCAATTGCAGCATTTTAACAGCTGCAGATGATCAAGTCTAGGGACATGGTTATTATACTTATATGACTTGACAACCAAAATTAAGATTGTATACCTGGTTCGCAGTTGTTTCAATCACAAGCCTTTTCAATTCCTTGTCCACGGCAAGCCACTGTCAATATATCACAATTTTAAAGCAAACAAGAATCCAAGAAAGACTAAGAATTGTATTCCAAGATCACCGAATGATGAAAATCAAAGACAAACAGAAATGATACAGGAGTGGACAAGATAACAGAACATACCACCCATCCAGAGCCCTGCACAGCAGCACCTTCAGTATTCATCTTGGCAATCAATTTCTCCATAGAGCCAAAGTGCTGGTCGATAGCCCAGCCCAAAGAACCATGTGGTGGTTCACCGCCCCCTTCCTGTAAAAATATTCAATCTTTCATTCAAGCCGTATGGTCAGAAATCGGAATCATCAATTGAGTCTCAAGGAAAAAGGCTTACATGAGTAGGAGCAAGATTCTTCCAGAAAATAGAGTGATTCACATGACCTGATCATAAAAAAAACATCTCTAGTCAGATCTAGGACAGAAGGCACACACAAAAAGTAATGCACAGCTACTTCAATAACTTAATATGTAGTGTATGAGATGTTGCAGAAACAATAAATCCCTAAAAAGGAATGATTGCATCAAACAATCATATCAAGGAAGATGTATGTGATTTCACAAACTAACCAACTGCTAGATGGGGGAAATGGCACTGAACACCAAACAAAAAGACAAGGCATAGTGAAAAAGTGGCGAGATAAGAATATCACAGCAAACATACTAATCAACTAACCAACTGGTTATTGGAAGTATCACAATTAACCCCAAACAACAAACGAGGTAACAAAGAAAGAAAGAACATAGCAGCAAACAAATTAATTGAATTCTCATAATTTCATTTATCACTCAAATGGGTTACCTAGCAAATAGCAGCAAACATATTATGCGCATAGACACCAAAAAATGCGTCAACCCCTTTGTCTAGAAATGAACTCCTTTAATAATCAAGCCAAACTCTTCCGCATACAAAACCAACCATGATGAAACTCACATTAGCACGGACTTCCAATTTGACCCATCTTCAGATTAAGATTGATGTGTATTTACGAACTTCTCGAAAACCAATAGATAATGAACAGTATTTCATATAAACGCATATCAATTAACAGACACTTAAGTCATTATTTGTGAGGACAAACATTAATCAATTAATTAGTACTCTTTATTCGAGGTAGCTAGTTTAGGGGTGAAGAATCTATGCTTTCTCATACATAAATTCAAAACACATGATTGGATTAGGCTTATTTCTTTCATGATCAGAATCCACATTTCTAATATCAAATCCATGTAGCTTTTATACAAGATAAATATGGATTATGAGTAGGAGATATACTATACTCTTGCAATAATCAAGCTAAACCCTTCCACATACAGACCATAACGACACTCACACCAACACACACTCGTCCTTTTTGACCCATCCTTGGTTGATGATTGATATGTCTTTATGAACTTCTCTGAAACTACAAGATTTTTAACAGTTTTTAATATAAATGGATCTCAATTACCATCCCAAATATCATCATGTCGATGATGAAGTTAATTAGTTAAATAATACCTCTCTACTCTTTAGAAATAGCTAGCGTAAATCCTATTTTCGAACAATGGACAATCAATTTTCAAATTGGGTCCTTCTAGCATGTATTCAACCAAAATTACCGACAAAAAATAAAATTGTCCGTACTGGAAACAGCATAAGATAGAGGGAAAAACAGGAACAAACCTCCGCCATTGAACTTAATGGCGCTCTGCAATTTGACAGCGGTGGAGGCATCACCCTTGGCGATGGCGTCATCAAGCTGCTCGAGAGCCTTATTGTAGTTGGTAATGTAAGTCTGGTGGTGTTTCTGATGATGGAGCTGCATAATCTCTCCGCTAATCGCCGGCTCCAGTGCACCATAATCGTAGGCCAGATCGGGAAGCGTAAACGTCTGCAGTCCACGAATCTGTTGCTGAAACCTCGATAACGCACCTAGGGTTTTCCCACTGACGAGGGTTCGAAGGGCCATTTGTTCTGCGAATCAATTGAGAGAGAGATTCGGCCGTGAAAATAGTTTCAAATTTTCAATTGGAACCGACTGATGTGCGCTTCTCTACTTCTCTGTGTGCTTGATAAAAAGAAAAGTGGTAGGTGAGTCTCAAGTTTTATGTAGAGGTGGTGTTAAAAGTCTAAAAAATAATTAATAAGATTGTTTTTTTTATTAACCCGGATATCCAACCCGTTATACGAGCCAATTAATTCCAAGGTGACCATCTGCTTTGCAGATAGCTCGGAGTCACCGCATTTGAACCTCCGTGGCCACAAGAGAATTTTTATTTCTCCTTGGATTTGGACTTGGGACCTTCTGGTATTTTTGACATTTGTCAAGCTCAAACCAATTAGACACTACCCTTGTGGTTAAGATTGTTTATTTTTGTAAACTGATAAATATATTTGTTTAAATTATCTATTTTATCCATTAAAAAATTATAGTGTTGCATTTATTGATAAATTTAAACAACTTCACATATTTATTCATCATCATTACGAAATTTACATCTAAATTATATAATTAACATTCATTTAAATAAAAATATGTCATTAACAGTATTTAACACATTTAAATCCTACTAAAATACATCAATTAAGAGAGGTGATGATTGATTTGGTAAGGATCGGTTGAGAGAAATGATCAATTAAGATTAATCGATTGAAAATGTCGTTGTTGTGGGTTTGAAGAATAATAATAGACAAATAAGAGGTTGATTTACCTCTTAGTATATAATAAAATAATAAGACATAAGTGTCTCTGAAAAATTAAAAAAAAAAAACAAACGGTCTAAATGACCTTACCTCTAAACGGATCAGACATAAAAGACTGATAAATATTTTTTATAAAAAACAAACAAGACAGTATTCTACTCGAATACATGTCTATTTACTAACTAAACACCTATCTACTAATAATAAATTTTTATAATGATTTATGTTTAAATGTACATCACGTCTTTACCTTCTTTCACAACATGTCTGATCTCGAACGACATACCAAGAATCATAACGCTGACATTTACTAAACCAATGACTTCTTTAGAATATCTTATGTAAATCAATCTTTCTTTGTATATTATATATGAAAATTTAAGATAACTGTTTATAAATTAAAACACAGATCAACTATCGAGAGATTAATTATACAAAATTCCACTTTACTTCAATTAAAGTAATTTATTTTATATGGTTACAATGATTTTAAGTTACAAATAATATATTATCATAGTTTATCTTTCTATTCATTTCATCTTTATATAAATATATAATCACAATATATGGACTTCAAGACATAAGATAGGGACATGAAATAGAGTCACCAAACCATGGGAGTGAACTTGCCTTATATCCAATAAATCTCTATGGGCTTCAAGACACAGGATTTTGAGGACATGAAACAAACTAATCTGATCTATATCAACAGAGCAAACTTTCCTTAAATCCAATCCATTTTTTATATGTGTTTGCTAATATTTTTATAATTTAGTTCATTAATACTATAAAGTATTGATTCCTAGGATGCGTTTGGTATATGCGGACATGATAAAAAAAAATACAAAAACTTGTTGTCCCACGTTTAGTACAACACTAGATTGGAATAGGATAGGACTTGAATATGACAAAAATGTATTCTGTCCCATCTAAATAGATGTATTACACATTTTTTTTATCTATGAGGCAGTGACATAACACACTATAAGTACGGGGTGGTTGTGATCTTGTTTCTTTAAACTTTAAAGGCCCCAAACTTCACATTTGTGGCTGAAACTTCGATTTACCATCTATAGATGCACCCTTGTAGCTCAACGAGTAATACCCGAATATGGGATTTGTACTAAATTCCACTAGCTTAAATCTAGAAATAAACCACAAGAGTGGTGTCTGATTGGTTTGAACTTGGCTCCAAAGATCAAAAATACCAGGAGGTTCCAGGTTCAAATCCAARGAAGAATAAAAATCCCCTTGTGACCACGGAGGTTCAAATGCGGTGACTCCGGGCTATCTGCAAAGCAAGTGGTCGCCCTGGGATTAGTCGAATCGCATAGCGGGTTGGATATCCAGGTTAATAAAAAAACCTAGAAACATTTAACCATTTTAAGAAGCCGAGTTGAACTGTATTGCTACGATCAAAAGCCCATATTTCAGCTTTTGTTACACCCAAACTCAAGTATTGAAATACCTTCCCCTCACTGTTCAAGACCTCTTGGCTTCCACCAAAAGAAAGATGGGTAAAATAAAAAGAAAGACAGAAGAGAACAACCAAAACAAGAAACTTTAACAAAAAAAATGGAGTCCTACACTTGAATAGGTTTTGCAATATCCCTAACTTCTAGCTTCTGATTAACTACATCATCGTTTGGGTTTCAAGTAGGTCCCTGGCCTCGGCTTGGGGCATTTGGAATTTAAATTTAGGATTTTGCTTATATACCTCATCGTATCAAGTGAGCCACTAAAACCATGGAACATCTCAGCAACTTGATCTCACAAAACCTTAAGGGTCGGCAAATAAAGGCTAGGCCTCGAGCTCATCCCGATCCGCCAATTCAAGTCTCCACAGGGCCACAGGGGAGTTTCCCATGAATTAGTTGAGGTGCACATAAGCTAGCCCGGATGCCAACGGTTACCAAAAAAGATCTGACAACTGTCGCATACGAGGCGAACTGGTCAAGCTTGTTATTTCTGTGTCTGGGGTACTAGTGGTAATAAATTATGATCCTGATGCGTGTGAAACGAAGTGGGAGTTCTAAAGATGTCTCTGCAAAAAGGGCATCCTTTTTTACTATGAAACATTATGCTACATGTATTTCCCTCTTCGTCGAGCTCACTACTGTCAACTAGGAACCAACCAGCCTGCAAGGGCTCAAGAAACTATGATGAATCATGACTATTTTGCCTACTTTGTTGCCTTAACTTTCACCATTCTATTCAAAGATGGGGGGGTAAACTATATTACAAGTGATGTGTGGGATCTTGATAAGTTCTATTCAACCAATATAGGCTGCTTCATAAATAGGATAATCTGTTTGCCAACAGAAGATCCCATGGATTCTGCTTTGAGATAGGATTTAGATGAATAAACTATTAAGCATTGTGGATATGCTCATATGCAATCGCTAAAAGATTAAAGTAAACCAACAAAACGGGTCCAGGAGAGAGCTATTGGTCTTCACTACACAGGAATTACAGGATGTGAACATCATAGCCATGGCTAAAATAAAAATGCGTCAGGATTTAACGATCATCAATTATCTGGTAGATGAAGTTCCATAAACAAGTCTACAATACAGATCTGAACAAACTGAGATATTTTGTTACTGCGTAGAGCATTAAATATAGGTATAGAACTTGAAATTGCAGATCGATCGTCTCAAATTACATTTCCATGCCCATGATATTGGAGTTTCTAACGCACACCCTAAGAAATTTGAACTAAATGAGCTCCAATTGGAATTCTGAACCCTAAAATCCATGTCCCCAAACACTACTTAAGACCTCTCGTCATTTTCAATAAATGATTTCGAATCTCATGAACTTATGATGAAATTGTAACGAAAGTTCCAAAGAATCACGTACAGACAAGATTAAATTTCTAAGAATTAAATTCAATTTAAAATTGAAGAAAAATACGACATCAAACCTCAATGCGCGAGAACGGAAGACCGCCGCCGATTGCTTCTTTCAGACACTTTCTTCCCGGGTAAAAATGCGATTTTAAATTGGGGGTAATGAGATCAGGGAGCGTCGATAGCACGCGACTGTAGGAGCGTGGTATAGTTTTTCTAAATGTAAGCGCCACCGCAGTAAACGCTGTTTTAATTGGAAAAAATAACTTTATTTTCAGAAAAGTCCTTCAACTATGAGGTTTGTTAACTTTGTTCCATAAAATAAGATGTCTTTATTTGCATTTTGTCCTTAAACTTTCCAGAATATTCCTAATCATACTTTTCCATAAATTGGATCATAAATTCTTTTTATCATATTTTTGGACTGAATTTTCATTTATTTCATCTCGAGCAACTTTACTAAAAAGGAAAATACCTTAAATTAATCTCATTTGTACAATATAAATTGATAGCATTCCTCCTTTGATTTCAGCATCTTGTTGTATGGAGTTGAATATTTGGGATTACGTGAGATCAATTTGTTTTCGTAAAAACTTGTGAGACATTTTTTTACACTTAAAAGTTCACAGCAAACGCTGTGAATGTAACATTCACATTGTTTTTGTTGTGAAAGTTCGATTTTTTCTTACCTTCATAGCATTTTGTTGTGAAGTTTCAAGTGTAAAAAAGTGGTCTCACGGGTCTCACGTGAACCCGACCCTGCATTGGAGAATAGACAAAATATAAATTTTTATATCATTTTTCTGTGGAGTTTTAAATGTAAAAAAGTGGTCTCACAGGTCTCACGAAAACAAACGGGTCTCACGTGAACCCGACCATGCATTGAAGAATAGACAAAATATAAATTTTTATGTCATTTTAAAAATCTTATGAATTAAAACAACAAGAATGTGATAAAATGACAAAATGAAAAGAGTATCCAAGATTTATTTTCGTTTTTTATTGGAAAACTTTGAAATTAAATAGCCGCCTTTGATTTTGAAAGAAATTAGATAGGTTTCAATTGAGGTTGATTCACATGATGAGCTGTATAAATACGAGCTTTGAGAGCAAGTGAAATTGAACCCCAATATTTTAAAGACTGTTCAAAAACCAACATTTAACATTTTAATAGACAACTTTGTATAAAAAGACATGAGCCAAACCATGCCAAAAAAGCTTAATCATGCCTCAAAGGCCTAATTAAAGCTTCACCATGAAAAGCTCAAATAAATCCCTTTCGTTGAAAGTTTGGCTCGAACCAAGGCTTGAAAAGGCCCAGATAATCTATACTATATTATAAAGCATTTGGCTAAAACTCTTAAAAACTCTTAAAACTCTTAAACTCTTAAAAACTCTTAAACCC